TACAAAAATCTAATCCTATTTTCATAGCGTCACAATGATTGAATCAACGAAGCAATGGGAGTTGCAGAGAAGCATCCATGGCAGAGAGAGATCAAGGAATCAGAGAAGTATTTGTAAATTTCAGAGAGGATAAAAAAAAATGAATAATATGACATGGTAATAATAAGTTTACCAATAATTGAGAATAATTTTACAGTAAGCCAAAAGTTTATACATTTATAGTTTGACATGACCGGTCAAATCATCCCGGATCATAATGATACAAAATATTATGAAAAATGTGCATTGGCATTTATTAAAGAACCAAAAGATTCTTTAAAAATGGTATATGATTCAAGAATTCTTATATGTTATTTATTCTCAAAAGAACTAAATAAGAGAATATCACTAGTTATGCTCAAAATTTGATCTATGCAAATTTATAATGTATCAAGTTTATATATGGGCCTATTCAGACACATATAGACCAAAATAATACCCTATGAGTGAGAGATGGATCTATAATATGGTCACAAGTGTTTATGATCAACTTGCAACCTGAAATTTACAAATATATTAAAATAGTTACATTGAGTATATAAGTTCCTAGTTATGAAGTCAATATGATTCTCATTGAGATTGCTAGTGATTGTTCCTTATGTTGCTGATGATTATATGTTTAGTAAAAGCCTCCATAAGTAGCTAGACCAGAGTTTATGAGAATAGAATTTCTATTTGAGTGTTGGGATGATTGATTTTATATATTTCGCATATAAATGCATCAAGCCAACAATGTATTATGAATTCTCCTATTATAATTGACTTTTGGTTAGGAGCTAGACATTTTTCATCTTAGAATGTGCAATGTCTATTATTCCACCACAATAATGCACATAGATAGATATTAAAAGTAAGTTGGGATTAATGTTGGATAAGAACCTCCTTATTCTTGTGTGTCTTTAAATGAAACAAAATAATGTTTCTAAAGAAGACTTATGGATTTGGCAAACCTACACTGTATGTTTTCAATATGAGAGGAAGAAAATGTACTGTTAGAAAAGAGAATACAAAGAATACACTTTCACTATCAAATGTAAATTCTCAAATAGAGTGGTATGAACTAGAAGCTCATAAAGTATTGCATTCATAAAATATTATTAATATCTGCAAGATGCAATTACTGACCTAAATGAAAATTTTTAATTCTTATATTCTAGCTAAAAGTACTCCTATTTTTTTAAGACATGCTAAAAGTATGAGAGTATAATCGGTTCCAAAAGAAAATAAAAAGGACCAAATGATCATGATGATCACACTAAGGAGGCATAAATTACAAAAGAGGTTAAGAATAACTATTTGACCATTGAAGAGGCATAAGTATTTGAAAGCAATAAAGAGATCTTGATATGCTATGTCATAAAAGAAAAAGGGACTGATAAAGAAATAAAATTTTCAATAATAATTTTACTAATGATATCACGTGATCAAATGAGGATCTTATATATAAATCTGTCATAAGATATAGACAAAAAACAGTTGGCCAACAGAGAAGAAAAGACACAATATAATAGGGATTTGTAAGCACTTGAAGTGTAATGCTAATATCATGTAAATAAGCATTTGCACATGTCTTATCAATATGACAGTTTGGTAGTAAATGAAGTTTTTTCATGCGCGTCTTGAAAATATATAACTATAATGTATGACGCTTTATATAATAAAATTATATATGAATCCCAAAACGATTCAAATCCTTATGTAAATTCAAACCATCCAATACATGAATAGATCTGGATCATAATATATAAAAATCCTTGGAGGATTCAAGTTTTTAGAAGCATACAATTATGTTCTCAAGAATATACGTAATTAAGTCTCCATATGAGATATATGTGGTTAATATTAACTAAAGGAATGATGTAAACATATTCTAACTTGTCTATTTGTGAGAAAATTCAAAATGAGTTTGTTATCAATATTATTTATGATAATAGTATCAAAACTCCTAATGATTTTTCAAAAGCTACAAATTACTTAAAGAAAGAATTTGAAATGAAAGCTTTGGGAAGAATAAATATGGATAAGTCATTTCTATTATGTGAAAATTAAGCCACATCTATTATGTGCTCTGATAGCTATAAGATCTTTAAATATGGACTAAAGATCCATTTAGACATCTAGAAAGTGATGAATAAATATTCGGTCCAAAAGTACCATATTTTAGTATCACTAGAGTACATATGTATCTATCTAGCCACACAAAACTTGATATATCATTTGCTAATCAGTATGATATAGTTCTTTATTAACACAAAGACGATATGGAGTGAAGTTAAGAACATTCTTCGTTACTTTAAGGGTGTCGTGGATGTGATATCATTTTATCTAAAGGTGCAAGACTAATCTTACTGGCTATGTAGATAAAGTATTTTCATTTGATCCTCATGTTGAGAGATTACAATATGATTCATGTGTGATTAAATCATAAAAAGACTATTTGTCTCATGATTTTCAAAAGATTATGAAATTCATATTTTATGTTCTTATTTCACTATAATATTTGGAAGTCTTGTTCGTTATATTAGACTTTACAGGCTCAAAGATGTCAATTGATGCTGCCAAGAGGGAGAGTTGATACACGCTATACTCTTTTTTCCTTGTCTATAGTTTTGTCTCACTAGGTTTTCCTAGCAAAGTTTTTAATGAAGCAGCATTGCATAGTATATTAATGAATTATTTACTTTTTTTCTTTTGCGAAGTTTTTGTCCCACAGGGTTTTTTTCTAGTTGAAGTTTTTTAATGAGGCACATTCATATATATTAGACATTTAAGGGGGAGTGTTATGAATATAATAATATCTTTGTGGATGTCCATATATCTCTCCCATTATCTTCTATAATCTCCAATATTTCCCATTATCTTTATATCCCATAATTATTTTCTATTATTATGTAATCTGTAGACTTTATCAAAGATATACTCTTAAATGGAATGAGAAATACTCTCTCTTATTAATCCTCTCTTCTTCTCTATTATTCTCATCTATTTCTTCTTTATTTATAACACCATTCATTTTTTTGAGAAATATGGAACGTATCATTTTTTAGTTATAGATATCGATTGTAAAAATTTACCATGTCTTTAGTAATTTATTATAAAACCATATTAGTCAATGACAACTTGTGACAATGCGACTTATCATGCTTCGATGAGGTCTTAGGCTTGACCCCACCAGGTGTTAACATGCTTGTTTATGAGCATGTTTTCTTTTCTTTTCTTTTTTTGACAAGTGTGTGTGGGCATGTTTTTTAATAAGTGTGCCTGGGCATCTGTTCACATTGTATCATTGGGAAAAAGTTATACTACCTCTGGTTTTTTAATATAATACAGCAATCTATTTTCTCTGCATTTTTCCAAAGTACCTCTATAAAAAATAAGAGTTTCCTATCAAAAGATATTCTCATACATATGATAAGAATAATTTAGAAAAATCAACACATACTTCTAACAAATAATTAACTTAATTAAAATTTTTAATACTATCAAATTAGCTATCTAACTTTTATATTAAACACTAGAGATAGTAATAAATGTTAATTAATTATTAATGATTAATTTAATAAATAATTAAAATTCTAGGCCTATAAAATTTTAATATCTATATTTGGAACAAAATTTGCCTCATACCCACTGCAAGGCAAGCGGCTCCTAAATTAAAATGGAACGTTCAAGCCACAACAAAGTTAAAATGGAAAGATTCATCCATCACAAAGTGAGGATCCGTGTGATTGCAACCGACGTCGTTTTCTAAATCAAGAGAGACCTATTTCGGCTTGAAATCGATTCACACTAGTAGGCTTCGGATCTGTATCTGATGGGCCGAAATATTTAATATAATGATTTATCTAATTGAATATAATATAAATTGAATAAGAGATTTAATTTATATTATCTGAATAATCTCAATATCGATATTATATGATTAAGTTTACTCAGTTTGGATTCAAATAATTTTATGGATTAAATTAGTATTTAATCCATTATAAATATATAATAGATATTTGAATACATTTAAATTCATCTCGTATATATAAAAATATTATCTGATTAACTAAGATAACTGAGATATAATGATAAATCAGCTAACGTCGTGCATGTGTATATATATTTATATTAAAATGAGAAGATGTGAATACTTTGTTTTTCCAAAATATTCCTCTCTCTCTTCTGGTTTTTTTTCTTTTGGTAGGGTGCATTTATGAAGGAGCAGCAAAACCAAATCTAAATCTAGTAAGTTACTCTACCTTGCTTCTTTAATTTTCTAACTGTTATTAATCTAGTGACATTAAATAAAAAACTTTTGTTGTAACCAAAAAGTGAATTGAGAAAAAAAATTCATACCAAATTTGAAAATAAATTGAATAGAAAATTTAATGTGCAAGAATTTTCTTCCAGTATAATTGTTATATACTCTAATTTAAAAAATCGGACACATATTTCTCCTTCAACTAATGATATCATGTATGTTTCCAATCATAGGGGACTAATTATTTTTCAGATGGAATTATTTATATTTGAATTTGAGATTTTTTTTTCCTTCAGTTACCAATTTTTCCAACACCTAAAGGCTAAATCATAAGTCTTAATTTTGTTATTTTAAATCTTTTATTTTCATTTATATTATAATATGTGAGAATATCATTAAATTAAAATTATATATCAAATCCTGTATGATAAAATAAAAATCTTATCTTATAAACATAAAAAAATGAAAATATATAGTTGATAAATTAATCATATCGTGCATTTTTAATAAAAAAATTGCACCAATATATATATATATATATATATATAAATTTAGTTACCAACGTTTAACGGCAAAGATAGAAGTATATATATACCTTCTAATGTGACAGCAAAAAAAATATATACCTTCTAATGCATATTCCTAATAGTCGTCGTTTGGTGGCGCAGCCGTGAGATTCCTTTATACAAGCGGATCACCAGGGAGCAAGATAGTAATGGACGGCGACACAGTACCATATCTTCCCCAAGAAATTATCACAGATATTCTTCTCCGACTTCCAGTAAAATCTCTAATGCGATTTCAATGTGTGTGCAAAGAGTGGAAGAAGCTCTTCAAAACCCCAACTTTTATTGCTGAACACCTCCATCATTCCCCTAAGCACAATTCTCTTCTTTTCGATTGCACTATCTATGGCTCTAGTTTAAGTTTGCTCAATCATAAGATGCAAGTTCTTGAATTTCAGAAGCCCACTTTCATTGATACCCCAACGATGGGTTCCTACAGGATCATCTGTTCGTGTAATGGCTTGCTCTGTGTCGAACTCATTAAATCTGAAACCCTTTTCTTGTGGAATCCAGCTATTAGAGAGGTCCGTCAGGTTCCCAAAGCTCTTAAACTTCTTGAAAACAAGTATTGTTGCGTAGGATTTGGGTTCACTTCAATTGTTAACGATTATAAGATAGTGAAACTTTTTATCTCTTGGTATGATGATCTGGTTCATAGAGCTGAAGTGTATTCATTAAGCACAGGATCATGGAAGGAAGTTGATGTTGGGAACTTAGAGGGTGTGATTGATGTCACTGGTAGTGGTTTTACTTGTAAGGGATCAATCTTTTGGTTTGGTTTAAAGGAAGATGGGGAAAAGGGAAGTGATCGTAATTTGATAGTCTCATTTGACATAGCAATGGACGATTTCACATTGATACAGATGCCTACTTTATCCCCTAAATCATCATATTGCAATAGTCTTACTTTGTATGATAACAAACTTGCTATGCTTTCTACAAGATTTAATGGAGACACCAGATCTTGTTCAACTGATTTGTGGGTGATGGAGGGATCGAGTTGGACTAAGATATGTATTATCAACCCCTATCCATCCTCATTACATCCTGTGGCTATTCGGAGGAATGAAATTATTTGCACAACTCATGATAGGTTTGAAGGTTTTTCGGAGATTGAATTGGTGGATAATCTTAAGATAAAAACTATTGTGTGCAATCTGACGAATAAGGAATTCAAGATATTTACTATCAGAAGATATTGCTATGGTCATGATTTTTTGATTTCAAATTATGTGGAAAGTCTCGTACCAGTTAATAACATCCACGTGGAAGAGCCGCCTGATCGTAAATTTGGGTTACTACATTACATATGTACTTTATTTAAGAACTTTCGATGGACATGAACCTATATACAACATTTTAGATCACTTGTCCTTTAGAGATGTTATCTAGAATGCTAAATAAATGTATATGATCTATTTACAATTTGAAGTTGTTTAGTTTTCTTTTAAAGTTGGATATTTTATTTAGTTGTTGGTGTGCGCATTATTCTATGTGAGGTTTCATTTTGCAGGTGGGCTTGTATTTTTTGTATCATTGGTGGATTAGAACAACTGCATGTGACAAATGTTATTCAACCTAGTGTGATTTATTTTCATTTTAAACGACTATTTTGGGTTTATGTTATAACTTACTAACAATGATTTGTAAATTTTTACAAACGTAAGTCGTCCTACATTACATTCTTTTATACTATTACTGGTCCTTAATATAAGAATTAGTTAGAGGTTAAATTTGATCCTAAATATAATACTTTAATTTACTTTGACTTTCAAATATTTTTTTTAAATAGTTTTATTGATTTTAAAGGGTTACCACCAACGATAGTTCCAACGCATATGATTAAAAAGCATAGTGTAGAGAGTCAATCCATAATTGTTACAATTAACTAATTTTTTATCTACCCAAATTAGTTATCTAATTCTTATATTAACAATCAAAGATAGTATTATCAAAATTGCTCATTTCATCCTCTAACTTCACACAATAATTTATGTTAATTCCTCAATTTTTATGAAGTATCTTTTTAGTTCTCCAATCCTAAGACCATTCATTTTATTAACAAAAAGATGCCGATATTGAAATTCTTAATGTTTCACAAAACATTTACAAATATTGACATATTAAATTTAACTTTTCCTAATGTAGTTTGACATAGAAAAAATTATCATTTGAAACTAACAATGTGAAGTTAAAAAACAAAAATATATTTTATAAAGTTAATGGATGAAATTAAAATATAGTTTCGTTTTGTTAATTCATTAAATTTTTTTAATTCTTATCTTCATTAATTGAATATGATTAAATTATGATCATTAAATACACAACCATCCCGTCAAACAATTAAAAAAAGAAAAGGTGATGAAGAATTTCTTCTTCCCCCAAGCCATGGTCTCTAAATAGTACTTTTCTGATTCTAAATATAAGATTATTATTATATATACTAGTATAATGGTCTTAATGGTCTTAAGGATCGGAGAAGTACCATTTCTTCAGGGAACTATCACAGTCGAGCTCGTCAAAGCAGATGGCAATGGATAGCGAAACGCCATTTCTTCCTCAAGAAATTCTCACAAACATTCTCAAACAACTTCTATCAAATCCCTAATCCGATCTCGTTGCGTTTGCAAATATTGGAAGAATCTTTTGAAATCCCCGTCTTTCATCGCAGCCCACCTACGGCACTCGAATGATCAAAACCCTTTTCTTCTTTTCAAGAAAGGCATAGGAAATGATTCGTACCTTTATTTGCCAGATCGCAAGATGCAAGTCTATGAAGTTCCAAACATACCTGTGATGGATGGGGTTAAGCCATGAGTCGTCAGTCCTTGCAATGGCTTGCTCTGTCTTGGAATTTCTCATTCTGGTCCATCTCCTATTTCATTTTTATTGTGGAATCCGGCAACTAGAGAGGTTGGTCAGGTGCCAAAAGCTCTTACTATTACTGGTGATGATTTGTTTATTGGATTTAGGTTCAGTACAATTGTTAATGATTACAAGATCGTGAAAAATTATTTGATTGAGTTTAATGAGTTTCATGATAAGCGTTATCGAGTGGCAGTGTACTCATTAAGCACAGAATCATGGAAAGAAGTAGAATTTGGGAGCTTATTAGACAGCATAAGTTTCTACCATGAAAATAATCTCACTCTTGATGGATTTATCTTTTGGTTGGCGCAAAAGCAAGTTCTGCCAGGTGAAGATAGAGATGGTCATCTTCTTCCTATAGTTTCATTTGACATAATAAAGGAAGTCTTCATATTAACATCAATGCCTACTCAAAACTTTTTTAATTTCTCCTACCATTACTGAATATGATAATAAACTTGCTATACTTACTCACACTCGCACCACAAGGAGCGCAGATGTAAGATCGTCCTTAATTCATTTATGGGTGATGGAGGAAGGTACATGGACTAAGAAGGATTCTAGCAACCCATGTCCATTGTTTTTATTTCCAAAGACTTTCTTTAACTGGAAGTGAGAAAATGAAGAAACAGAGAAAGTACGGAAGGCAAGAGAGAGACTGAAACTGCTTCGTGATTGATTGATTTGCTTCAGCATTGATATCTTATTTATAATGATAATTACAAGGGATAATCTCTAACTGATTTGGTTAGAATACAGATGTTATAAATTATAGCCGTCAACAAACTATCAACTTGATACACACGAGTGCATTTTTTCTAACATCCCCCCTCAAGCTAGGTGGTGTTTCCATTGTACCAAGCTTGGTTGGAAGTGTCCAGAACCTGGTATGAGATAGTGCCTTTGTTAGACAGCTGGCAATTTAAGCAGAAGAAGGAACATAACCAACTATGATCCTTTTGGCCAAAACTTGTTCTCGAATAAAGTGAGCATCAAGCTCAATATGCTTTGTTCGTGAGTGAAAAACAGGATTGCTAGCCAAAGCTCTTACACTATTATTATCACACCAGACTTGAGAAATGCAACTCAGAGGAAACTCTAGCTCCTTCAACAAGTATTGAAGCCAAGCCATCTCTGCTGCTAAGTCGGTCAAAGCTCTATACTCAGATTCTGTACTAGAGTGAGCTACAACCCTTTGTTTATGAGAATTCTAGGAAACCAAAGAGTTTCCAAAGAAAACACAATATCTACCTACTGACTTTCTATCATCAGGATAGTAGGCCCCATCTGCATATGAATAACTAGTGAGACTAAGATCTTTATCTTGTCTCAGATATAACTCAAAAGCTGCTGTACCTTTAAGATAGCTCATCACGCGTTTGACAACTTGCCAGTGTACTTGATTAGGAGACTGAAGGAATTGACTTAGTCGATTAACTGCAAATGCTATGTCTGGACGTGTCTGGGTCACATATTGCAGTGCTCCTACCTCACTTTTGTATTGACTAGGTTCTTTTAGATGCTCTCCATCATGGGCAGACAATGGTTTACTAGCAACCATTGGTGTGGGACAAGGTACACAATGAAGCATTCCAAACTTTTTGAGTAAGTCTACTGCATATTTAGTTTGAGAGAGATGTAGTCCATGGGAACCTCTTTTAGCTTCAATTCCTGAAAAATAGTGCAAAGATCCCATATCTTTTAGAGCAAAAACATTATAAAGTTTTGGAGTAAAAGCCTTCAACTTTGTAGGATTATTTCCTATGACAATGATGTCATCCACATAAACCAACAATGTTGTAATACAACCTGAATGCTTAAACCAGAACAATGAAGTATCACATTTGAAATTTCTAAACTCCAATGTATTAATGTCTTCTTGAGCTTATCAAACCAGGCTCTACGAGCTTGTTTCAGCTCATACAAGGCTTTATCAAGTCTACAAATGTAATCAGGCTTGGTTTTATCCTAAAATCCCTCTGGTTGTCTCATGTAAACAACTTAATCTAGTGTACAATTGAGAAAAGCATTGTTTATATCAAGTTGATTTATACACCAGCCCCTCGCTACTGCAATTGTAAGAGCCAAATGAACAGTGGAGGCTTTGACAACAGGATTGAATGTTTCATAGTAGTCTATACCAGGGCTTTGCTGAAAACCCTTGGCTACAAGCCTTGCTTTTCTTTTATTTAAGCTCCCATCAGGATGGAACTTGTTTCTAAACACCCACTTGCATCCTACTAAACTCTCTTTGCCCGTATAAGGAACCAAAGTCCAAATGTTATTCCTTATTAAGGCATTGTATTCATCTTGCATTGCATCTCGCCAAGAGGCATTGGACAAAGCTTCAGTAACAGTTGGGGGTTCAGGTTCAACTTCAATAAAACATTTAGCCAAACCAATAAAAGGATGCTTAGGCTTTCCAATTCTAGCTTTACTACGTGTCACCATAAGATGAACATTTTGATTTGTTGGTACATGAACTGTATTATCTTGTGGGACTATAACAGGGCTGGAAGAATGATCAAAACTAGTATTATGAGATGACGGCAGATTAACAGACTGTGTAGGTGTTGGTACAGGTTCTAAACCAGAATTCTTGTGATTAAAAGTATCTACAGATGAAGTCTAACCAGAAGATACAGGATTAGGCATAGGCAGTAACTCAAAAAATGAAGCATCAATAGTAGTTAATTCCTTAATTTGTTTTCTGTTCAGGAAACCATGCTTGAAGGGAAAATCGCAATCATTAAACACTACATGCCTAGAGATAAAAATTTTGGCAGTAGAGCTTAAACACTTATATCCTTTATGCTCACCATTGTATCCCATAAAAACCCACTTCATTGTTCTATATTGTAGCTTTTGGGACTTACATGGTCTTAAGCAAGGGAAACAAGCACTTCCAAACACTTTTAGGAATTTGAAATTAGGATTAGAACCAAAAGCAACTTTCAAAGGAGATACTCCATTCAACATATCAATTGGCAATCTATTGATGAGATAAACAGCACATTGAAAAGCTTCATACCAATAATACAGAGGCATTAAGGCTTGGGCAAATAAACTCAAACATGTCTCAGTGATATGTCTGTGTTTCCTTTTAGCTTGGCCATTCTAACTAGAAATGTGTGGACAAGAATGTCTAAACTCTATTCTATGAGTGGCAAGAAAATCAGAGAAGCCATGATATTCTCCACCCCAATCACTTTGTACTGTTTTAATTTTTCTTTCAAACTTGTTTTCTATAAGTGTTTTGAACTATGTAAAAGCTTAGAAGGCGTCAGATTTATTCCTTAAAGGATATAACCAGGTGAATCTACTACAATCATCAATAAAATGAATGTAGTATCCAAAGCCAGATGTGCTCAAAATAGGAGCCGGACCCTAAATGTCAGTATGTATTAAACCCAGTACATTAGAAGCATGAGACATTGATCTTTGAAAAGGTAACAAATGGGATTTTCCATATTGA